AAAAAAAAAATCTTATAAGATTAACAACAAGGGGCACCTGGGTGGCTCAGATGGTTACATGTCTGCCTTCGGCTCAGGTCATGATCCCAGGGTACTGGGATCGAGCCCCACATCGGGCTCCCTGCTCGGTGGGGAGCTTGCTTCTCCCTCTCCCTCTACTGTTCCCCCTGCTTGTACTCTCTCGCTGTCAAATAATAAATAAAGTCTTTAAAAAAAAAAAGAAAAAATTAACGACAACATCTTACAACTGTGCCTTTCTTGTCTGGGGCAGGCTTCTCTATGTATTCTCTCTCGTAGAGATACAGTAACAAGCATGCAAACAGCTCAAAACATGATGAAAGGCATAAAGGCTAAGGAAGCCCCGTGCTCTGCAGCTGTGCTCTACACCCAAGAAATCACCGGACGTGGGAAGCCCTCCCGACCCGAGTCACAGTTTGCAAATCTGTATTTCACAGACACAGGCAGCACTGGAACATGGCAAAAAGCCCCAACCCATTTCCGAAGAACTGACAAAGCTGATTTCACCATAAATACCTTAGCACCTTAACGGTCTCTACCCATTCCTTCTGAAGACTTTCCCAGGTGTCAACTTCCACCCATTCTGAATTCTTGGTGGCGAGTTCTGCCATGATAACTCGGTGGCGGGCAGAGATGAGTCCTTTCTTCTTATATGCATCGCCAACAGGAGAGATTATGCCTTTGATAACTCTATATTTTCCTGGATAAAGAGTCAGATTTGATGTGAGGTGTAACAAGTTAGATTTTATGCACAGGAAATGTTATCATCAATATGGTTTTACAACAGACCCCCCCCTTTTCAAAACAGGGATTCAGGTTCATTCATACATTCATTTACAAACAAGGTGAAATAGAACATAAAATTCACCATTTAAGTGCACGGTTCAGTGGCATCAAGCACATTCACACTGTTGTGCAGTCCTCACCACCATCCGTCTCCCACCATCTGTCTCCAGAACTTTCTCATCTTCTCCAACTGAAACTCTGTCCCCATGAAACACTAACTCCCCAACCCCCTACACAATGTAAGTTTTGATATTGCCAAATTGCCTTATAAAAAGCCTTCATCAATGTGTACAGTTCACCTACAGTGTATGTAAGAACCCATTTCTGCCCAACCTCTGATACTTGACACTATCAAATTTAAACATTTTTGTCGATGTGATGGGCAAAATAGATCTCATTTTTTTATCTTAGTTCCCTGATTATTAGGATTATTAGTGAGTCTGAGCAACCATCCATCTATCTAGCAGCATATGCATGATCATTTATGTAACAAAACATATTGTGTAGGGGAGGTAATAGTTTTCCTCAACTCTCCTTGGGTCCCTGGCTGGGTCTGGAAATTAAACTGACAAAAACAGAAAAACAGAAGAAAAATGTAGAAATTTATTTAATAGAAGGTTTATGTGACGCGGGTGTCTTCATAAGGAAATGAAGACCCCAAGAAACAGTTAAACCTGAGTATTTTTATGCCAGGTTTAGTGAAGAGTGGACAGTCGTCGAGAAATATGATAGGGCAAAGAGTACAAAGGTAAGTGTAGTAAACTCAGGGAAATTTGGCAAGGCCCATTAGTTTAGATTCTTCCAGGCATCCATCTGTCTTTAGCAATAAGGATGCTCCTTTCCTCCCAGTATACGGAGGGCACTTCTCACATCAAGATTTTATGAGCTGCTTCAGGGGAGAGCGGTTCGGAGGAGGTCAGAGGGACCTTCCTGATTCTGCCATTTTTTCAAACTCCTTCAGCTTAAAATACCCAACAAGCCACAGTGCCATATTTTGGGGTAGTGTCCTGGCTACTGTTCCTACCTGTTTCATTCATGTAGTCCTTAGCCAGCTCAAATAGCCGGAGATGCATGTTGGTGATAGGATTAAAGGAACCACAAGCAAGGAGAACCACTTCGATCTTCTCTGAATTTTCCATGCTAAGAATTTGAAGTTGTTGATCTGAATGGAAAACTCTGACACTTTGCTTGTGGTCTGCAAAGGAAAAAGGAAACAAGTTCAGTTCTAGGTCTTTAGATGTCCTTCCACCTTCCAAGTGGATGGACAAAAGCCTGTGGCTTCAATGACAAAGACAGCCCCATCCTCCACCCTTCCTTTTCAGGGTGCATTTGCAGCTCTTGCTGTACAGGGATGGGATCTCCTTCCCCCTCTTTGTGACTTGCTTTGGACCAAACAATGTAGCAGACGTGACAGTGTGCGGTTCTGAGCCAGGCCTTTGAGGCTTTGCACACTTCCACACTCTTCTGGAGTCCGGCCTCTGCCATGAAAACAAGCCAGGGCCAGCCTGCTGGAGGATGACAGACCGCCTGGAAGAGAGACTGTACTCCCACTGATGGACAGCCAACCACACCAGCTATGCGGCGGGGGCCATCCTGCACCAGCCAAACCACAGATGACACGCTCGGACACACAGGCAAGCCCCAGCGAGATCAGCTGAGCCCGGCTTATATCAACAAACCCACAAGCTGACCCTCGACTCATGAGCAAAAATTAACGTTTATTATTGTATGCTGCCGAGGTTTTGTGATGCACTACTGTGGTCACAGTTAACTGATACAATGACATTATCAACTACCAAATAAATAGGACTCCCCAACAACCTGCCCTTCAGAACAGTAGTCTGGGGACGTCTGGGTGGCTCAGTCAGTTAACTGTTAACAGTTAACAGTTAACAGACCTGCCTTCGGCTCAGGTCATGATCCCAGGGTCCTGGGATCGAGCCCCGCATTGGGCTCTCTGCTCTGTGGTGGGAAGCCTGCTTCTCCCTCTCCCACTCCCCCTGCTTGTGCTCTCTCTCTCACTGTGTCTCTCTCTGTCAAATAAATAAATAAAATCTTTAAAAATAATAATAAGAAGAATAAAATTAGGAATGCATTTCTTCATTGTTTCCTAGCATCCAACACTGCTGTTGAAAGTCTAACGCCATTCTGACTCTTGTTCCTTTTTTACATGACTTTTTTCTTTTTGGCTGATTTGTGGGATGTCCTCTTTATCCCCAGTGCTCTGAAATGGCTTAGTGTTGTATCTTCGTGGGGGTCTTTTTCATTCATTGTGCTGGGAGTCAGCTGAAGGGGTTCAGAATGTGCCACTTTGGCATGCAGATTACTTTGAGTGGAAGGCATCTGAGACCCTGCAGGCTCAAGAGAAACTTTTGTCCCTCCCTTAGTTACACAGAAGAATCTAAATTGGGGGTCTTTCCCAGAATAAGGGTTATTAGCAGAGATAAATTTTATCTGAGGGACCCACCTGTATGGCAGGGCAAACACCTAATTACCAAATATCTGCTCTTCTTGCTGCCCTGTGAGGTGCATTCCTTTCCTCTGAAATCCCAGACCTCCACTCTCTTCGCCTTAGTTCAGAATGACATAATATGCCTCATTTTGCCTGACTGTCTTTGGAATTTCCATGTCTATGTGGATTCCCCGTATGTACGCTATTAAATTTGATTTTCTCCTCTTTATCTCTCTCATGTCAATTTGATTCTTAGTCCCTAAGCTAGAAAGACCTGAGAGGACAGGAATTCTTGCTCCCTGACACAATGAACCTTTCCATCCCTCAAAGTCAAATCACTCAGTTCTATTTTTTTGATAAACATTGCCTATGAACCATCAAAAAACAGTTTTGTTATTATAAAGTTTTATTTTTTTTAAAGATTTTATTTATTTGACAGAGTGAGACACAGTGAGAGAGGGAACACAAGCAGGGGGAGTGGGAGAGGGAGAAGCAGGCTTCCCGCGGAGCAGGGAGCCTGATGCGGGGCTCGATCCCAGGACCTGGGTTTGACTTTGAACTTTGGGGAATGACTTGCAGAGGTCAGAGTATTTTTATAATTAACGCAGAAATACAGTAAACGGCAATAAACAAACAGTTGTATGACACTTTTTGACGTATAAAATGCTTTCACACACATGATCATTTAATCTTCATCACACAGGGGCGCATGGGTGGCTCAGTTAAGCCCTGCATCCTGCTCCGCAGGAGGCCTGCTTCTCCCTCTCCCACTCCCCCTGCTCTGTTCCCTCTCTCGCTGTGTCTCTTTCTGTCAAATAAATAAATAAAATCTTTAAAAAAAAAAACTTCACCACGCAAACACACAAAAACTTGGCCAAAGTCATTTAGCTTGTTACAAAAAAAAGCTATTGTTAGATATTTCATTTTTCCAGTTAATCTTCTATCATTGGACATGTAGGTTTTTCTAGCTTTTCAGTATTACAAACATCTCAGAGAAAAAAATGGGTTGAGATTGAGCTGGAAATTAAGGCTATACAACACCACGCTGTGCACTTCTTTTTAAGATTTTATTTATTTATTTGACAGAGAGAGACACAGTGAGAGAGAGAGAGAGGGAACACAAGCAGGGGGAGTGGGAGAGGGAGAAGCAGGCTTCCCGCGGAGCAGGGAGCCCGATGCGGGGCTCGATCCCAG